TTAAATAGGTGAGAAAGTTACACTCAGGAGAGGCAACTTGCCTCTATCATTCACCAATTAAGAGAAAGATCCTGGACTCCAAGTCAGGAGTGTCTGATTTCAAAGCCCTTGTAATTTTATCTTCATATGTTGCATTTCCTACTGGAAGATGCTGCTTCCTTTCACCTTTTCATTCAAAATTCAGAGAATACCTATGACACAATGGTATAACCATACAGGCAGACACACAGCCCTGTTCTCCATGTGCTGGTAGACCAGCAGGATGTATGTCCATATAAATGAATCATAATGCCATTTTTTTAAAGGCTGTAACAAAAGTAGGTCTCACAATAGGCCTATCTAGAGTCATTCTTCTGCTGCAATGATCACTACTCATGTGTGGCTACATAAATCATTAAAATTATTTTATAAATAAAATCAAGAACTCAGCCCCTCAATTGCACTAGTCACTTCGCAAGTGCTTGGCAGTCACATGTAGCTCATGTCTACTGGACTGGACAGTACAGATTATGAAACATTTCCTTCAGAGTACAGTGTCCTATGGAATAGTGATGGTCTTGTCTAGAGGATCAGAAAGACATCCCTGAAAGTAGTTCTGAGCTCAGACTTGAAGAAAAATAAAAATTTCCAGGCAAACCAGTGGAGGCAGAACATTCCAGGCAGAGGAAATAGATGAGGAAAATGATAGGAGGCACCATTTTTAAGTAAGGGAGAAAGCTTGATCCAAGGACCTGAAGGAATCTGGTATACTCTTTGTGTGTGTGTGTGTGTGTGTGTGTGTGTGTGTGTGTGTGTGTGTGTGTGTGTGTGTGTGTGTGTGTGTGTGTGTGTGTGTGTGTGGTGTGTGTGTGTGGTGTGTGTGTGTGGTGTGTGTGTGTGGTGTGTGTATGTGTGTGTGTGGTGTGTGTGTGTATGTATGTGTGGGGTGTGTGTGTGTGTGTGTGTGTGTGTTTTCAGGGGCAATTTGGTGGCTGATGATACCATTTTTCATGATGTGAAATTTTTTAAGGTCATTTTACTTATTGGATGATTGGTTTAAATTCTCTTTTCCTCAAAAAATATCAGGATGGGGAGAGTGGTGGTTTCCACTTAGGCCTGGAGTTACTGCTCTGTCATTCTGTCAGAGCAGAGGGAATATCACAAAAATCCTTCCAGTCACTTCCATGAATAATGTATGTCTTATTTCTTTATTCTTCCCCACAGCAAACATCAATCAGAAGCAGCGGAAACAAACAGACCACGGAAACTAGAGTCAAAACCAGCATTTTGTCAACTGATTAGATAGCAGTTAGTTTAATGCTGACATTAATCAAGGTCTGATTGCTCCATTGTGAGGAGTGAGAACCATGTGCTGAGATTAATATGCAAGATCTGGTTCAGAATGTTTCTGCAGAAACCCCCACGCAGTAATTAAGAAGAACACAAAATGAAGGTTATTGATCCGTTGTGTTATTGAGAAACAACATAATTGATATTTTGGATCTTAATTGCTGGTTCTAAAGTAAAAGTGACAGTCTGCGCAGATCATTAGTAATGGAGTTGTTTGTTTCTACCATTTAAACCAAAATATTGGGTTCAAAGTTTACCCTGCTTCAAATAAACATTGATTTTGCTATCAAGAAGTCTTTATTTGTAAATATCTACAATTATTATTCTTTGGACAAATCTGGTGCAATATGCTATTAGTTTTGGAGTCAGACAGTTTCCACTCATGAGATCTGTGGAATATTTGTCATTGAACTTGTCTGGGTCCCAAAATTCTCTTTTGTAAAGTGGCACTGACGATGTCCAGCTCAGAGATTTGCTAGAAGGATTTGGAGAGAAAGTCCATGTCTGAGAGTCAAGAGCGTACTATTCAGGATCAAAGACTCTGAACACAAACTGCTGTGTTTTAAACCCAGATTTGTCACTTCTTAGCTGTGCAAACTTAGGCAAATTAGTTAACCTCTCTGTTCCTCAATCTTTCCATTTTTGAACAGAGGTGACAGCAATAGGCTTCCCTGACAGAGTTGTCATGGAATTAAATGAAGACATAAAAGTTCTAAGAGGGCCAGGCAGAGTATAAGCACTGAATAAGTGTTAATTTTTTATTATAATTAGAAAGTGGTTATGCACATCATTAATTCTTAATAAATATTAAATGCATCATTTTCCTTCTATAGCTGGACAGTGGGAAACCCAAGCCAGAGTGGTGGCTCTGCTTCACATGCCACAGTGAGGGGAAAGGCGACAATGTGAAGGAAAGACTGGGTCAACATGCCTTACCCACTTGCTCCCAGAACTTCCAGAAAACATTTTGCCTAATTCCTAAATGTGACTACACCGCACAGAAAAAAACAAAAAAACAAAACTGAAATGTGAAGAAACTATGATGGGGAAAGACCAAGATGAACTAATTGTGAAAAAAAAGACCATAGGAGAAATAGATTGTTCTAGGCAAGAAACAGATGCTAATTAGCATTCTGACAGAAATCTAAAGACTCACTGCTTTCAAGAAACAAGCATCAGTTGCCATGAAAAAGAAACCAGAAGATACTAAGAAAGCATTCTTGAGAGTTCAGGAAAAAGATGGCAGATACAATGAATGGAAAAAAGTCTACATGGGTTGTAGAGACAGTCAAATAAATGGCACAGAGACCAGAGCTAAAAAGATAAAGAAAAATTTGAGAGAAATGATGAGAGACCATTTAGTGGGCCCAGCTTTGGACTAAAAGGAATACTGAAGAAGAGTTGCCAGGGAAATAATGCAAGTTTCCTGAACTGAAGGAAATGTGAATCCTCAAAGAGAAGGCTCCAAATCATGAGATACAACTACACATACACTAGAATGGCTAACATTTGATGATAAATGAATAAAAATGAAAATAGTAATGGCTGGTGGGAAAATAAAAAAAAAAAAGGTACATTCACTTTGGAAAACTAGTTGGAAATATCATATAAAGCCTAACATGCAATTGCCAGGTGACCCAAGGATCTTACTCCTCCTTATTTATTCAAGAGAAATTTACACAAAAACCTTAAGTTAATGTTCACAGCAGTTTTATTTATATGATATCAAAAAGTATCCCAGAGAACTATCAATTCCTGTTAAGTCTTCTTATCCCAATAAAATACAATTTTAAGAAAAAAGAAATTTCAGAACACTAATGACTAAACAAAGGGGCTATAATCTTATAGAAACAAAAATAGGTTATCTACAAAGGAATAAAGGCCAGGGCATCTTCAGAAACATCAGGAACACTGGATGCCCAGAAAACAATAGAGAAAGGACTTTCAAAGTTATGAGGGGAAAATAATTTCCAATCCAGAATTTTATACACAGCCATTATGCAGCATCGTGCCTGGCATCCATTAGCTGATCAATAGCTAGTCATTACATACCTGATGAATGGCTGAATAAGTGAGAATTTGCATTTTAAGCAAATTTAACTTTCATTTTCCTTACCTGAGATGATGATTGCAATATATACTATTCAAGGGGATTGAGAAACATAATATCTGTGATCTAGATACATGTGAAAAATACTGTAGATCAGCAAGCTACTTAATTCAGTAAGAATTTTATTTTCCAATAGAATAGATCTCTTAAATAATTTAATAAAGAAAAAAGAACCTTTCTCTGGTCTTAAAGTAATCTTTATTCTGGAGCCAATATGATACCTTGAGACCCAGCTAGAGATTTTTGAAAAAATAACATAAGTATTCACAGAATCAGTGCCTGCGGGCAAAGAATAAAGGCAGTAATTGGAGATCAGGTTAAGAGGAGCATCTCAAACTCGAGTACACCAAGAGGCACAGTGGCTGTGTGTTGAGGTAGGAAAATCAGGAACATGGTATATGAGGCTAAAATTGTCAAGGATAAAGTTGTCGCTTCTTCCTGAGGAACCATTTAACTTGAAGGATGGGACAAGTGGGGGAACCTGTAATGTTTATGCTTTCTAAAGTATATATCACATCCGCCAAACCCTTGTTTTAATTCTAGGTAATTTCTTGTTTAATTTATTTTATGTGCCTGTTTACCTTGTGATAATAAAGAAAATAGCATTAACTCTGGTGTATCAGATCAATTTCCTACAGTGATTAGTAGAATTTGATTTTTATTTTACCAACATGTAATTCAACTAAGTTTCATTTTCTGTGTCAGTGAGCTTTCTGAGTGAGTTTGGACGTTTGTTTTCAGTGATTTAAACATCATTCTTTTGAAGTGAAGCATTTCCAGTCTTGCCCCTTCCCCCATATTGTGTGTGGACTTCCTGTGGGAGGTGTGCTTGGAATCCACTGGGATGCTCATCTTGAATTTCACTGAGTTTCTGTTCCAGTGTTACATGGTTACTTCAATATGGATCATGAAGTTCTCACTTAGAGTGTTGTTTTTCTGAAACAGTTCAATGGACTATTTTTTCTTTTATTAAACTTCTGAAAATTGTTTCCTTATCTTGTGCCCAACCTTTCTGTCTCTGATGTACAGTGGGGCTGCTTCAGCCTCAACCCCAAGTTCCAAGGTTCTCTCAGATGAGTTTTTGGAAAAACTCAGTTGACTACAATGTGAACAGGTTAGAGGATTAAAAAGCAGACAATAGAAGGAGATTAGATGCCTAATTGACACAAAACAAAAATGTGTAAAAGCCATAGGACTTGATGTTAGGGCAGAAATGTCAAAATTCTCCCCTGGGTGATGTTCTAGCAACAACCAACTGACCCACAGGCTAAGGCAGTCTTTTGCCCATTTTTAATTGGATTATTTGTGGGAGTTTTTGGTGTTGAGTCTTATAAGTTCTTTATAAATTTTGGATATTAGCCCTTTATCAAATGTATCACTGGCAAATATGTTCTCCCATTCAGTGGGCTCCCTTTTTATTTTGTTGATGGTTTCCTTTGCTGTGCAAAACCTTTTTAGTTTGATGTGAAGGGATTAATAAAAAAAACTAATAATAATAATAATAAACGCATAGACACAGACAACTGCATGCTGTTTTTGTTTTGTTTTGCAAGATCAATGAGGTGCTTTAATTTAATCTTTCATGACAAAGAAACTTATCATAAAAACATTTGCATATATATACATATATACACACACATATATATGCAAACTGTGGATTAAAAAAAAATACCAGTGGAGTAACTACGCAGCATTGGCATCTAACTATCAATAGAGATTCTTATGACACTTCAATTAGCTTAAGGGCATTTCAGTGCAATGCAAGTATGTGGAACAGGGTGGGGCAGGGACATATAGGGAACAGGCGTGAATACAGCATCCTGTCACCTACTGTCTCTAAGATGTCATACATGGGCACCCCTCCTTGCAGTAGTATATCCTGGGGCTGAATCTGCATTCCACAGTCTTCACTCAGGAGACATCTCAGTTGAGTGGGGCTGAGGCAGTGAGTGACACTCCACAGCTCACAAGGGCTCTGGGTTCCTGCAGAGGGAATTGATCTAAGGGTGTGTATGCTTTGCCTGAAGCCAGTACTTTAGGGTGGGACACACACTGGTAAGCTGACACCTTAGCACAAGTTAATTAGCATCTGGATCTTGACCCAGTGACTGACTCAACAGTGAGAACAACAAACTGTCAAACCAACTGAAATAGAGGAGTGTGGGAAATGTACAAAGGAAAGGGTGGAAGGAGAATTTTATAACTTACCATGATGCTAGCCTTACAAAATGTTTACGAAAATATATGCATTTTATATTTCTAAGGCAGTGTAGAAAGTCTAATTCAAATAATTAGCTGAGTTAGTCTAGACTATGCAGTTGTAACAAATAAACCCCCAAATCTCAGGGAAGGGGATAGGACAGATAGAAGAGGGTATAGGGGAACAGGGGGATAAATGGTGATGGAAGGAGGGAGACTTGACTTGGGGTGGTGATCACACCATACATTATACTATAGAACTGTACACGTGAAATATATATAAATTGTATTAACTAATGTCACCCCAATAAATTCAATTAAAAAGTTTTTAAAAAATCAAAATAAAGAAAATTAGCAAAAGAGGTGGTTAATAAACATCTCAGAGTTCTTTCCAGATGGAAAAAAAAGATTTTTTCCCCCTTAAATTCCCCTTAACTTGTCGCTATTTGGCAGAAGTAGTCCAAATAAGAGCAGCATGTTTCAAAGGAGCCGGCAGGTAAGAGAGCAGACAGCAAGACGCAGCCTCCCGTCTCAGCCGGCAGGTGCTGCGAACACAGCTGTTCAGGGAGTGAAGGGCAGCCACTTGTGATAATGTATTGCATCATTTCTTTGACCTCAAGATAAAAGCAAACAAGAGGAGCAAAATGTGGCGCTCACCAGGCTGTAAAAATGAAACCTTCCACGCAGCCCTGATCTGTCGCAGGAATTCTGTCTGTGCCAGAGAGACTGGGGATTTCCGTCAGGATGCCAGCTGGGCCTCGCCCTGGATGGTTTTTGGAAGGAAAAGAAATAAAATTAAGGACTATAAGAGAGGGTTTAAAATTTAATTTAATTTTGCTAAAACAGCAAGTCACATTCACTGAGCTGTTGCAATCTTCTGAAAGGATACAGAAAAATGAGCACTTACCCAGCTTCCACCGAGACAAACTTTGTGTGTGTTCTGTTACTGAAGCTCACAGCAGCTGCAAGAGGATGCGTAATTATTGCCCCCATTCTCAGCTGAGGACAGCAGAGTTTGGCAAGTTTATGTCACTTGTCCAAGGTCACATAGCTAGGCTGCAGTAGGGCCAAATCTAAATCCAAGTCTAATTCGGAGGTTCCCATCATCCTCTACTCCTCACTCCGCACTACAGTAGTCCCCTTACCTGTGGTTTCACTTGCCTTGGTTTTAGTTACCCACAGTCAACTGGAGTTGGAACGTATTAAATGAAAAATTCTAGAAATAAACAGTTCATAAGTTTTAAATTGCTGCGGTAAGCGGTGTGATGAAATCTCCAGCACTCTCGCCCTGGATGTGAATCATCCCTCACTGAACCTCCATGCTGTCACACCCCTCACCATCGTTCGCTTAGTAGCCTGCATTGTTTTCATATCAACTGTCCTTGTATCGCAGAGCTTGTGTTCAACTCACCTTTATTTTACCTCAGAATTGCCCCAAAATGGAAGAGTCCTGATGCCCACTATTTGGATTTGCCAAAGAGAAGCTGTAACATGCTTCCTTTCAAAAAAAGAAGAAAGTTCTCCACTTAATAAGGAAACACGCAAAGCCACATGCTGAGCTCTCTCGGATCTATGGTAACAACAAATCTTCTATCCATAACATCATGCAGAAGGAAAAACAAATCTGTGCTAATTTTTCTGTTGCACCTTAAATTGCAAAAGTTACCACCACAGTGGCTTTGGATCTTCACCTTAGACTGACCACAACTGTCAAAGCTGCATCATGTCAGTCTCACGCTACCCAGTCCTGCTTCCTCCGGACTATTCCCTTTAGGAGGTTCCAGATCTGTTTTGTGGTCAGAAGGCTTTCCTTGCCCAATCCTACTTTCTCTCCCTTTATCTTTCAAAGCCTCCTGTGGGTTCTGAGCATCTGCTTCTGTGAATGGACACAGTACCTAAATGCCATGCTGCCCCAGGTCTGAGGCCTTGAATCACTGCTACCTATATTCATTTCCTACATAAGCCCACGGAGTTTATTGAGTATTAATGTCACTTCAATGTTGAAGACTCAAATTTGTGATTCTAGCCACCAGCAGTCTTCTGACCTCCAGACACATGTGCCTAATCCCTACTCAACATCTCCATTGGCTATTCAATAGGAATTTAAGGCTTAATGTGTTCAAGTCCATACTCTGATCTTTTTCCTAAACCTATCCCTTTTCTTATCTTTCTCATCTCAATAATTACTCTATATCTATAGTTGCCAAGAGCAAATATGCTGGAGTCATCCTTGATTTCTCTCATTCTCTCATAGCCCACACTAATGCATCAGCAAATCCTGTGGGTTCCACCTAAAAATGCATATAGTACCTTACCAGTTCTCATCTGCTGCACCAGGACAACATCATTTAAAGCCACTAGTCATGTCCTCTTATATAGATTATTGCAGTAGCCTTCTATTTGGACTTCATATTTCTATCCTTGACCTATTCAAACTTTTTCACACAGCAGTTAGAGTACCCTTTAGAAAGACAAATGCTGTATGATATCACTTATGTGTGGAATCTAAAAAGCCAAACTCGCCGAAACCGGTTTGGCTCAGTGGATAGAGCGTCGGCCTGCGGACTGAAAGGTCCCAGGTTCGATTCCGGTCAAGGGCATGTACCTGGGTTGCGGGCATATCCCCAGTAGGAGATGTGCAGGAGGCAGCTGGTCGGTGTTTCTCTCTCATCGATGTTTCTAACTCTCTATCTCTCTCCCTTCCTCTCTGTAAAAAAATCAATAAAATATATTAAAAATAAATAAATAAATAAAATAAAAAGCCAAACTCATAAAAACAGAATAGAATACTGGTTCTAGAGACTGAGGGAGTGGTGGAACAGGACAGATGTGGTTTAAAGGCATAAACTTCCAACTAACAGTAAATAAATTCTGGAGATTTAATGTACAGTTAATGAATAGAGACTAGAGTATTGTATTATATCATCAAACTTGCTAAGAGACTAGACTAGATCTTATTATTCCAACCACACATACAAAAAATGATTATGTAGCATAAAAGAAGTGTACAACAGCAATTATATTATAGTCTATAAATGTTGCATACCTTAAATTTATACAATGAGATATATATTTCAACAAAAATTTAAAAATAAAGACTTAATTCTCAAAATAACCTATCCACAGTTCCACAGTCCTATCCCCTTCTCCACAGTTTTTCCCTCTTGTTCACTCATTTCTTTTATTCTAACCACATGGACTTCACTGCTGATCGCCAAATACTGAAACCTGTCTCTACCTCAGGACTTCACATGTGACAGTCCTTTGCCTATAAATTTTCTTCCCCTGATAACTGAAGGGCTCTCTTACCCCCTTCACATCTCTGCTCACATGTCCCTTGTCAGGGACATCTTTCCTAAGCTCTGTATGCAGAATTGCACACCCAGTGCCTCCTTTTCCTTTCCCTACTATCCTTCTCTTAGCTCTTAAAATCTAGCATAATTGATTTTCGTCTCACACCTCTTATTTTCAGGAGGAAAAATTTATACTTATTGTATTCCCTATTGGATTCCTAATACCTATTTCAATATCTTTTATGTAGCAGAAACCCAATAAATGTCTTGTATATAAATTAATGAATTAGGATAATAATAATGCTGACCACATAAAGAGGTTGTGATCTCTAATAATTAATGGAAATTATTTAGTCCAGTTCCTGGCACAAAATAAGTACTCAACAACCATAAGTTTGTGTTAATAATATTAGCAAGTTTTAATCATGGCTGCCTTAGCGAAGGTGAACACTTCAGTAGCAGCCTCCATTCCGGAGACAAATTTGACATCAATGATCAGGCGTGACCCACAGAACCTAAACATCTCTCTATACATCTCTTTGCTTGGATTCTTGAACAAAAATACTTTAAGATAACATCCCATGTTGGTGAAAAATGACTATAATTAAATTACAAATGAGAACTCTACTATTTTTTAAATGAATGCATTGTACTATAAATACTGCACAGTAGCTTTCTTGTGTAAATGTCTTCTCTTCATAATGTGAACCATTTTGGCCAGGTGTAACTGCAAGAGGAAACTCTGGCTTGCCTGGATTTTCCTCTTCATTGCCTACGTTTTGGGACTTTTTGTCTTTTTGGAACAAATATTTTTGGAGTGCCTGCTGTGTCCAGGCACACTGTGCTGGGCAAATAGGGATGAGGCTTGGTTCCTGTCTTCAGAGAGCCCACCCCCATCAGCGAAGGGGGATAATTCAGTACGGCATTGCAGGGAGGTGTTAGACCAGGTGCAGGAAGTACAGGATGCATATGATAGAAGAAACTTAGCTTACAGTGGAGAAGATGGGAAAAGATCACGCTCTGCTTCTCACAAGAAGAGGTGATATTTAAGGTGTGTGAAGTTCTCCTGGTAAAGATTAAGTTGTCCTGGCGAAGGGAAGGGTGGTTCCAGGAGGAGGGGATTATGTAAAATGACTCAGAGCCTGGAGAGAACATTGGGTCTCCAAGTTTCCAAATTCTGAAAGGTGTTTTGGCAGCAAAGCCAAGCTTCCCTGCTGTGTCACATGAACGGCTTGTCCACAATGAATAGAATTTCTTATAGTCTTAGTAACTGCAGAAAATCCTTAAACTTTCTTCAATACATGCTCAAAGTTCCCTTCATATTTTAATAAAGATTTTGTTTTTCTACAGTACACTCTGAAAATGTCTCCTGTTCACTTATAAACCCTGCTAGGAGTCTCTTTCTGTCACCGAAGTCCTTGGGTTCTCTGTCTCTCTCGATTCCAAGGGCCTGCAGCTGACCTTGGGCTTGGTATACTGACCTTGTTGCTAGGCTGGAGCAGATCCTCTTTATAGAAAGAGTAACTCCCAATGGAGACAGAGTTGAACATAGACCTTGAATGTAGGCAGGGGATGGGACCTTCTGCCTTGAATGTAGGCAGGTCCTTGACAGGACCTTCTGTTACCAGTCCTAAGCTAGGTACTGGGTAGACTAGATGATGAACAATACAATAAAAATATGCAAACTGATAGGGTTACCTAAAGAATATAATAGAAAATAAAAAATGGAGAGACCATCGCATTCAGAAAGGCAGCCCATGTCAAGAACTGTTTTAACTGGATCGTGCAGAATGAGTAGGGTCCTGATAGAGTGATAACAGCTGGATAATCCAACAGAGAGAGAGGGGAAGTGGTGGGATTGGAGGTCTAGAGCCAGGGCCAGACTGTTGAACCTGCAATTAGTGTTCTAGGGGTGGGAATAGATCCTCTCTGCTAGCAAATGTAGCCACATTTGTTCATTCACATGGGGCATGGTTGTAAACACCTAGGATTCTGCAATCTTTTAGGATAGAATTTTCAATCAGACCAAGGAAACCAAAGAAAAAAGAACCCCACAATGTTGAAAGGATAAAGGCATGAATCATAATTGTCAGCTATTTTACAGTTTAAGCTATTTAAGTTTGAAGCTGGAGAAATTACAGGCATAAGTGCTTAAGTATCTCTGGTTGACTTTTAATTAACCTCTTTTGCCATTTTCCATCTAGGGGAATTGAAAAACATTTTCATAGTCCAACAAAAACTTAGTTTATAAAAGAATTACACAAATTTGAAAGTCATTCATAATAATCTTTCAAAACATGTGATTTTTGCAGCTGAATCAGGCCAAGTCGTGTTTATTCCCTATCAGTCCTCGTTATCTCGGCATCGCTCTCTTCTTAATAAGATTCAGACAAAGCCTAGTCTTCCGGGGCAAAAGTGAAAACCCACAGTGATTTAAAAAGGATTTTCTCTAATCAGGCCACATCTCATTAGTTGTGATTCTTTCTTTTAGATTCTGATGTTTGCAGATGCTTTTGTGGGAACATTATTTAACATATGTGCTCCCGAGTGAGTACCCGCCTCTTGTGCAGGCTATTTTTCCTCTATCCTTCTGAGTTGGAGAAGAGGATTTATTTATTCAGCTTAAGCAAAATCTCATTTTGTTTTAAGAAAAGAAAAAGATTATTTCCCTTTCCCTCTTCCCCCCTTTGAAAATAATAAGACAATGCTAGATTTGCCTAAACACAATTACAGACAGAGGCCATGCTACTGAATTTTCATTTTGATGATGGTAAATGACATCACCTAGCTTCCTTGGCACTCAAAATAATGAGATTTGTATACCTCCCATGATAATTGGTCACCAAAAAGGAGTCACTTTTGTATCAGTCAGGTTGAGCTGGGTTGTGCTGCAGTAACAAATAAGCTTTACAATCATGATG